TGGATGGATGGATGGATGGATGGATGGATGGATGGATGGATGGATGGCTGGATGATGGATGGATGGATGGATGCGAAATTACAACATGAGCTGAAATCTTGAGCTTTTTCTATATGTAGATGCTGCTTGAGCAACCTGTGGGTGTAGAACATTTTTCAGGAAAAATATATTTTTTGCTTTAATTGTTAAATACACTGCGAGTGCCTCTCTTGCAAAGCCTGATGAGGAAGAGGATGAGGAAGTTCCACTCGAGCAGTTCCTGAAAGAGTCGGCCACTCAGGAGTTTGGAAATAGCAGGCCACAAGATGGCTGACTGAGAACACATATATATATGGTAAACTTTATATATAGTACATAAAATATACTACTTAATATATTTAAAAATGTTCTTGATTTTTTTATTTATGTATTTTTTTTGCCTTCTTTATTGTAAACGTTGCTGATAACCCAACATTTTGATGGACAACCAGATTTTGTCAAGAGTTTGTCCTCTGGACAGCCTGGAAAACGTCCTGGTGTCTACCTCTGCTAAGATTTAAAAGCAGAGTGTGTGTGATCAGTCGTCAAGAATTGTGTGTTGGAGATGACTCATCTATTTTGACGCCATGTTTTAATGCAATATCTGCGAACTTGGCAGAGTTACAGCCTTTCTGTTGTTTGCAGCCCCTTTGCTGTGGCGGCCGTCTTGAACGTGGCTCCAAAAGTGAATCAGTTGTAGATGTACATCCAGTGATTACACTTTGAGAGGCTTTTTAAATCTCTATCTAGTGATACAAGAGATGTTCTGTCAGCAGATCTACATGAATCTGCACGCACACACCCAACAAGGACAAAATATCATTCCCCTAAAAAGTCTTGCTATAGAACAAAATAAAGACTGTTTGGAGTAGAGAAATAGTTCTCAAAGACATTTTTATGGCATCAATGCAAGAAAAAAAAAAAGCAAATGAAGGTACCCATCTGTCACTGAACAAACCATCTGTGACTCCCTTCTTTTTTGTATTTGGCCTGATTATTTTTATTGTGCAGCATGTTTGAACTCAGAAGCTGAGGTCTTTGTGCGTTCATGTGTGGCAGCATACGTAACGCGCTCTGAAACCAAATATCTGTGAGTTTGTCCGTGTCATGCTCAGGTAGCTCACCTGGAGTTGATGCAAGGCTGAAACAGGCACCGCTTAAATTATAGATAACCAGACATACTTAATGATTTACACAGTCTCGTGAGTTCAGTTTGAGCACGCTTTTGGTAACTAGTACAATAACACTGAGCTAAATTAGCATAAATTAGTTATGCCATCTTGACTCCAACGTTAATCAGCTGTAAACAAACTTTTTGAGGGTTTTATTAATGTCAGCGGTTCAAGAGATATTTAACTAAAAAGCACACAGACACAGGTAATTACATTATGTCCTCCCTTTCACGACGACAGTTAATAAATCCATCATGACACTATAGCTAAAATATCCAATTTTAATTAAAAAAAAGTGATTTTTGTAAAAAATATCAGAGAATAAATTCTGTTTGGCTAATAGCTCAAAAATGCATCATGTAACTACTTGTCGTTCTCAACAGTGGAAGGATGCTGTGACGACCAGCCTGAGACTTCACGAAGGCCTGAGACAGCACCGCTCGGTGGAACATGGCTCCCGTGTCCCTCCTGTTCCCAGCTTTGCTCCTCTCCTTCCTCCCTTTGTCTGATGCCCAGACCATCATTGGCTTCTCCTCCTCCTTCCCTGCGTTGGATCTGCCAAACAATTCACCTGCGCCCACAAAGCAGACCGTTCGCTTCTGGCCCTCTTTGCCTTCCAGAGGACGCAGTGATGTTCCCGTCAGAGTGACAGTACGGGACAAATTAACAACTACGAACATGGTGGAACAGGAGGAACGGCCCGACCATCCAATGACACAGTTCGATCCTTTTCCCATTTTTACTATTTCAACACAAAGTCCTAGCAGAGCACATGCTACGGTCCAACCAGCTGCCTCCAGATCGAGGACGGACACAGCCAGTTTAGCTTTCGGCAGAGATTTATCAAAGAGGGAAGACGCCGAAAAAGGCCTGACTTTGTCCACTTTACCTTCTGTTGGTGAGTCTGCAGAAGACAAAAAGGCTAAAGGGAATCCAACAGAAGGACCAGATAAAGAGACAGAAGATGGGTTGGGATCAGGCAGAAGTCCAGCAGAAGAGTTTGTCCAGCAGGAATGGCCTCATCGTACACCAACAGCTGGTGATGAAATGGCACAGTACCGACCACAGGCGCAGACCATGACATCTAAAGTTGGTGATGGAATAAACCCACCTGTTGAACCGCAGACTGTTCTGACTACAACCAGTGCAACCTCTTCAACACAACCTGAGAGAAACGCCCCACTGCCCTCTGTGACAACTCTGAAGACTTTCACAGGTTGGACAGGTCCGTAAGAAGTTTAGATGAAAATCTCATATCTTGTCTCTAATGTGAAATTTTCCTCACACTTGTAGGTAAGTTGGCAGTCAGCAGTCCTTCCACTGCTGCGACATCGTCCAACTCTACTGAGCAACAGCCACGGATGGCAGGGCAACCTGTTCCGGGCCAAAGCCAGACTAGTTTGCATCTAAACACCTCAACAGCACATGTGGCCCACACATCTGCGACAGGTGAGCTCGGCACGACGCAGACGGGAGATGGAACCACAACGAGGCAAAGCAGCAGAACCACGCCAACAGGAAGACATACAACTGTACAGCCTTCAAGGAGCGGTAAGAAACAAGAGGGTTCAGAGCAGTTTGAAAGTTTTCTCTCTTCTGATCGTTTGGAGCAGACTTATTTATACAGCTGGGCTGTTTTACTGGAGGAATTTAAAAAGGAGGCTTCAAAGGAGGGAAAGCAGAGTTACTTTTCCATGGAAAGTGGGGTTGCATTTGTAAAGGGTAGACACGGCGAGCGACAAAAGTAAAGGGTCAAAGAGGAGGTGGGTAGGAATTCAGGCGAGAGAAGGGATATACTGTAAGAAAGAATGTAAAGCTATGGGGTGGGGGGGACTTCCATGAATATAGATGAGAAAACAGACAGGGTGGGTAAACGTGTAGCGAAACAAAAGGTAGACGCATAAAAAGCAGTGAAGTGATGTAGCAATGAAAGCCAGATGCAGACAGAAAGAGCTGAAGGAAGGGGAAAAGTAAATAGAGAAGGAAAACTTGACACATTTGGCACATGGACAATTTTCTTTGATACCCGGACCACAACTTGGCAACGACTTTTAAACAGTTTATAGCACTAAAAGAAGCCATATCCGTGATTTTGATTGGAATAACATTTTATACACACATTTTCTTCTGTTAAGAATTTGATTTATCAGTTTGACCTAATTCAGTGATCTTTTCCAAAACTGGAATGAAACTCAAAAATGTTCTGCATAAACTTGACGCTCCCGAGTAAAAGCAGCTGCGCTCAGGAGCACCAAGGAGACCATGCGTCAGGCCCGCTTTCTGCCTCTCAGGCCTGTCTGCCAAGAAATCGTCGCATTAAAGAATCTAATTGTTCATGAAATCTTTTTGCTGCGGGGCAGCTAACACACGATGCTGGACATGAACGATCACAACAAACAGTAACTGTGACAAAGAGCTCCATAAGAAACAGGAAACATAAGGAAGTCAGGATCCAGCACAGAAACATTTCATCCTCCCTGTTTTTTTTAAATTCAGTCGAGCTATCTGAGAACGTCCATGCTCAGAACGTATTCTGAAATTTACAACAATAAACTCCACATTTTGAGGCGTTCCAGATGCAATTAGACTAAACTGAGGTAATTCAAACAACGAGCGTCGTTTGTGTCATTGATTGTATTTGTTTTAGCAACGCCTATGAAAATAATTTTCCCATGAACACATGATGGATACAAACCTGACACTGGTTTGGCCATTAGCCCAAACTTATTGTCACCCTTGACACTCAGTGATAGAGGTACAGTTCACATGTGAGTCCTCTTTTGTAAAAGAAGTTCATTAACAGGATATTTGAATTTTAATTCATTCCATGAGAAGGGTGTGTGTCTTTAAAAGAAAAAACAGAGGGGTGTGGGTAAGCCTAAGTGTGCCCAGCTGTGTAATGTGACCCACACATCTGGAATGTGTCTGGATCCTGTTCCTGTTGGGGGGGTGGGGGGGGAGTCTGAAGGGAGGAAGTAAAACATTTCTTTATGTAAATAAAGAAGCGTGTTTGCGATCTGCGGTGGTCACTTCATGCCGAGAAGTGTGTGAGAGAGAACCAGGAGAAACGGAGTGAGGGAGAGAACCATGGAGTGGAACGTGTTGGAGTGAGCCATTAATCAGTGTCAGCCTCACAGTCTTCTGTTCAGGGAAGAGTTACTTCAAGTCACTGAAGGTTTGAGTTGTTGAATAAAGTCATTCTACATTCTGTTAGTCCAGCACAGTTCAGTCAGGTCATCTGGACGGTGTCTTTTTGTTGAAATGTTTCATCTTTCATCCACAGGACTTCATCAGTCCGAGGAGCCACAACAAACTCATTCCCACAACCAGCACACTCACATAGAGGGTCAACCAGTTTGATGGTGATAAGATGGTTTCTGGAGTCCACCTTGCCCCCCGTCAACTTGTCTGAGGCAGCTATGGCCAAAGTGGTTCAAAACATCAAAGTTCATGCGCAATACTCCAGGTAATAAATCCACCCCCCTCCAAAAAAAGTTGGATTTGACCAAACACTTTGGTTATAGCTGCCTCAGACGAGTTGACTCCGGAAACCATCTTATCACCATCAAACTGGTTGACCCACTATGTGAAGGTGCTATTTATAAGACTGAGTTTGTTGTGGCTCCTTGGACTGATGAAGTCTTTTGGATGAAAGACGAAACGTTTCAACACAAAGAAACCATCCAGAGGACCTGACTGAACTGTGCTGTGTTTTACCTGGATTATTACTTGGACACATTCTGTTAAGTTAAAAACGTTGATATTTCTAAAAACCCATCATTTAGATACCCCAAACCCCAAAATTTACAAGTTCACTATTACTGGCATGCTCGTAACACCCTTTGTTTGTGTTAATTCATAAAATAATAATATTTTAAAGGTTAAACTTCAAATAGTCTTTTTTTTTTTTTAATTAATTTATGTTTTTATGTGTGTCATTTTTATTGTTCAGGGTACTGCAAAGCTTTCAGTGGTTTATTATGATCATAGTACAAATAATCATAAAACAATACAAAGTAAAATGTTACACATTTTTTCTTCTCATAACAGTTTTGTATCACATATTTCTAAAATTGTGTGCAGACATCGTTGTGTCACACTACAGTGGTGCTGCACGCTGCGTTGCATAATAAAGATGTTCTGATTAATTATATAATCCAGTTAGGTCACACAGACAGTTCAGCTGAACCACTGTCCATCAGATGTGTTTATTACAATAACAAGGATGGTCACCGTGAAACGATGTTTCAACATGTTACGAGTTTTGGGTTGTGTGATTTTAGCTGTTGTGCGTTTATTTTTGGTACATGATAGAATATCTGATGGCCACACATTGGTTGTTATTAAGGTTTGTTGTTTACATACTAGGACATGTGCAGCTAAATTACTGTATTTCTGTTGATATTAACATTTCAGATTCTTTAAAGAAAAAAAAAGAAATTTAACAGATATTAATTTTATTTAAAATGATAATAAGAGATCATATAATATTTAGTTAATGTGTCTGCTTTAGTAAGCGTGTATAGATCTTAGCAGAGCTAATTTGCTCCAAACAGCTGAAAGGTTAAGATGACTGTACTTTTATTAGTTAACTACTGCCTTCTAGTGGCTCTTTATGGTGCCACATGCACTTTTATACATTCATTGTTTTTCAAATAGATAAAATGATCAATTTAACATGTGAGTTCAAACATGTATAAACCAAGTGTTTTCTTTTCTTCCAGAACCCTTTTCTGTCCGTCCAACCGGTGTTGTTCCTGTCATCCGTTCAAGATTCAGCCCCACATACCAGGCTGAGAGGAACCGCTCTCTTCTTCTGGGACATCCGTACCAAGCTCCCTATTCCACTTTGATCCCATCTCCCTCCCCCAGTGTGAGGCCTTCAAACAACGGCGCACTTCTTTACTGGGGAGATCTGAGCCAAACGTTGGCTTTGGCCTGGGAACTTCACGTCTATGGCACAGCAAGCCTTTTTCTTCTTCTTTTTGCTGGAGCTGCCCTTGGCCTCATGCTGTCACCTGGTGCAAACTGTCCTCATCGAGGCGCTCTGGCACTTGCCAACGTTCTTTTGTTTCTTGTTGGAGGCCTCAGGGCAGCTCTCTTTTTCATCGACCCCTATGGCACACGAAAATTCCTCCCTCGCCCTGCCGTTACAGCCCTCTACAACCTGCCGCTGCACTTGTTGGTGTGGACGCAGGCAGCTCTGGCACTGCTTGCACTCAGGGTGGCAGGAGTGAGTATGTTGCCTTCAACTTTAGAGCGCCCTCCCCTGGTGGCTGTACTGACAGTGTTACAGTGCACCCTGCTGCTGGCTGTTGACCTGCTGTCTCCAGCTCTGTCTCCTGTGGTGCCCATCACGCTGCAGGTCCTGTCCTTGTGTTGGGGCCTGGCTCTCTGTTTAGGATTTCTGTGCTATGTGTTTCCACATATACGCTGCCCTCCTCTTCCACACCACGGAGTCCCTGAAGAGACTGGGAGGAAGGCTTGGACAGGGAGCCAGAGAACAGGAGTCATTCTGGGAAGAGTGTTGGCGATGTGTGCAGTTCTTGGAGCTTTGTGCTGTGGATTGCATGTCCATGCTTCTATGTGGCTTTATGGATTCTTAGGAGATTGGACCCACTTTAACTGGGGCTGGTGGCTTGTGCACTTCTGGGCACGGCTCCTGGAACTGGTCTGGGGTTTTTCCCTCCTAATTCTGGCTTCATGGGTGTTCTGGAGACCTGTGAGATGCAGGAGAAGGGAGGAAGGAGTGCAAGACAGCAGAGCAACAGGTGATCTACCATCCCCTGGTCAATCTGTAGGCTCACCCCAAAGACATACATGCTGGTCTAAGATAGTCCAAAGCCTGCGGGGGAAGCCCTGCAGAAAGTCTGACAGTAATGGCGTGGGAGGTGTGGGGGAGGTGCCTAACAACTGGGCTGGCCAGGAGCATCCTGGAGCTGATATCCGCAAGAGTCTCATAAGGAACCAAGACCATGACCAGAATGCTGCACAGGCACGTTGCGTCAAAGACAACAACCATGGACAGAACAATGGCGGGCACTCTGCAGAACGAGGCACAGCTGATGATTCCTCTGGACCACCGCTGAGACTGCAGACTCTAGGTCAGCCGCCGCAGCGCTCCGTGAGTGGCAGTCTGGATCAGGATAAGGATACGTCCCTGTCTTTCTATGAGTTTGACCTGCGACCTCCCTCTCCCATCAACCTGACTCGCAGCATCGATGAGGCGCTGCATAGAGAACACTTGCTCGAAGGGGGGAGTCTTTTTCATCCTGTAAACCAAACTTCGCCATCTCCTTCCCCGGGTTCAGGGATCAGCCAAGGGGGTTGGCTCCGCAGAAACAGTGACCCTCAGCTGCTTTCTGAGAGCAGCGAAGCCCCAACAGAGTCCTCCATGCCACTGGGGGGCAGCATTCTCAGCAGTGTGCCTAGCAGGCAGGTGACTGCTCCGCCCACACCATCTCACCAGGGTCACAGATGGGGTGGGAACAGCGTAGCATGTGTACCCTCATCGGTGTCCTGCCCGGTGTCACTTCGTCCATATAGAACATCAACAGGGAATCTGGGGGAGGACGAAGTGGATGACACACGGCCCTTTATAACCCCCGACTCCGAACGAGTGCGAGGAAGGTCAGGGAGGCCAGCAGGGTCACGCAGTTACCTGGAGGTCAGTCGACACGACGATTCTGCCAGCGTGAGCAGTGAAATTATTGACCTCTGAACCAAACCCTGAACATTAAGACCATCGACTGCACTTCATTTATTGACTTCTGTATCAGACCAAGACTTCTGAAGAAAAAAACGATAGTCTGAGATTCAAAATCCTTATTTTTGAAAGAGGAAATACACAAAGTATATAAATATAGATCTAGGTAGTGAGTCCTAAACTTATTGTCTAGCTGCCTTTTATATCGTTAGAGGATTTACCAAGTGGGCCATGGAACAGGTTTTCTTAACTCGCACTAGTGAAGCAAAACTGGGAAATACAGCACAGATAAACAACACGCAGACATTTTTTCAGTCATCTCTTGCACATGACCTGTTGGTCTGATGTTGAGTTTTCAGGGACCCAAACTACATCTGTTTCACTAAACAAGCCCTTCAGTAGATCTGCGCTCGAAACCTGGACTAGTTCCCTCCACACTGTATGAAATAGAAAAGCTGTTCAACTCCCTGTAATGTGATTGCCTGTCCTTTAGGTCTCATTGCTCGTTTTGTTTCAAATCATTTGTCGGCATATCATTGGATGTGAGTTTCTTGAAGTTTGTTCTGTTTGCTTTTGTGATATAAAATGTGCCATATGCAGTTGGTTTCTTTGCTGTTCTCTCTCTCTAGTGTCTTTGCATTTGTTGTCATGGTGACAGCTGTAGAGTATATTACGTCCTATCTTCCTGCAGCTGTTTTTGGTTTGCCTTGTGCGTTAAAGCTGGTAACGTACAGATGCAGACGGTAAACAGAAACCAGACATGGCTCGTTTGTAGGCGCATGTTCACGTGTGGAAAAGGCTCCTGAGGATAAAATTAGCAGCTGATGATATCCTGATGCATGCTTAATAATCCAGGTAGATACATTTAACAAGGTTGAGTCAGGTCAGGCTATTCTTTGTTGAAATGTTTCGTCTTTTATCTAAAAGACCTTCAGTCTGAGGAGCTGCAACAAACTCTTGGCTGTTTATAAGACAGCTTGTTGAAGATTTTTTCAACAAAGAAGAACCTGTCCAGAGGACCTGACTCAACCTTGTTAAATAGCCGCTGATGAATTTGTCAAACACCATACTGAGCTTGACCTATGATGTTATTGCATTTTTATCATGTTAACTTGCTGCAGATGAAGCTTGTGGGATCAAAAACCATTCGTAAATGATGCCTCTTAGTGCATTTTTGCCGAATTCGAACAGTTACTGTGCATTGAATCTGTTTGATATTTAACTAAGTGCTACACAACTTTGCAGGGCTGCAACGTACAAGTCTGGCTTGGCATGAACCCCAGAGCTCTAATCCTAAACCTTAACAACAGAGCACTTACCGGTACTCTAGACGGAAGTATTTTACTAATATATTTTAAACATGTGATGAAACGATGTAAATACTATGGTTTTTTTAAGTGTCCGTGAATAAATGACGTATTTAAAACAGTCATTGCTGCAACTGTGAAGTACAATTTGAAGTAGTAGGTTCAAATTAGAATTTGAGATTGTGAATTTGCAAAGTTGGAAGTTGTAAATAACTCTTTGAAAATCTTCAGCGCATACACAGAAAAGATTTAGATTTGTATAAATAAAAGGGAAGTTACATAATACACTAAAACTAAAGTGTGATTTAATGAACATTTTTACAGCTACAAGAAGGAAAATTGGTTTAAAACTCAGCATTTATAGATGTTAAAATGGATTTTACTCTTTAGGGCTCCAGTAAAGCTGAAGGCTACGCCTCTGACTGGACAGGCGGGTTTGTGATTGACAGGTTACCATCCAATCAGACTGAAGTATGAAGACAATAAGACTTTACAGTATTGTTCGCCGTACATGTCGCACCGCCCAATAAGTTGCTTCAGTCCAAATATGTCTAATAAAGTGGAAAAAAGCATTAATAAGTCGTTTCGCCGTATAAGTCGCATCTGTTATGTGTCACCGCTGACATCCCGTAAATGTGGGCCGGTGTTGTGCCAAAAATCAATTGGCTGCCAAATGGCGCCCGCGGGAGTGTGCACAGGACGACTTTAATAAGAATTTTAAAAGATTGACACTTAAATACAGTTATTTGTTTGCTTGAAATTATAGCAAGGGTGTGTCTCAGTCTAACTTTTCCTTAATCAAAGGACTTTAAAAGTCACATCTTTTTGAATTCTGCAGATGTATTTCAAACGGCGATACGTGGAAGCAGGAGCGCGCAGAGGGACGACTTGCTGTGCATTTCTTTGAAATTTAACAAGATAACCACCTACAAACAATTATTTGTTTGCTCAGAATTATAGTAAAGGTGTGTCTCAGTTGAACTTTTACTTAATAAATGCACTTCAATGGTCAAATTAGCTGCATTTCAACCGTGTTCGTTGCTTCGGTGCTCCGGGAGAACGCAGTGGGAGGAAATCAGGAAGGAGGAATGCTGCTCGTTTCTTTGAAATTTAACAAGATAACCACCTAAAACAATTATTTGTTTGCTCGACTTTATAGAAAAGATGTGTTTCAGTTGAACTTTTACTTAATAAATGCACTTTAATGGTTAAATCAGCTACATTTCGCCGGGGCGGAGCAGTGAAATGAAGCTGATTTGACAGTTGCTCCAAGCGAGCTGGACGAAGGTGACAGGTTATGGCAAGCTGATTGTGTCATTAATAGCCACTTTTACCTATTACATGACACAACGGCATACCATTATACTCGACTGCCATCTAGCGGCTGAAAATGGTAGTGTTCAATATTTTCAATGTCAGAATGAATGAAAATGGTCATATCTCAGTCAAAAATTGGTTTATAAATATGGAAAAAAACATAAATAAGTCGCTTCAGTATGTAAGTCGTAGGGCGTGTAAATTATGCAAAAAAAACTGCGACTTACAGGCCGAAAAATACGGTATTTGTAACTTCAGGGTCTTGCGTGACGTGGGAACTGCAAGCAGTGAAATCTACACATAGTTTTATGCATCTGTTCACCAAAAACATTTCTCTAGTCTTTGTGTTTCTTTTTACAGTTTCTTCTGCACACGTATGCACCTTTTGAATTTCACAGCTTTATTTTAAAGATTAACACAAAGCAACTTTAGCAACTTCAAATATTGACGTATTAATTTTATGCAGAAACTCCTAATAACTCTTAAACTGAGCAGATGTTTCGTTTTTAAGACCATGTTGTGATTTGATACTTGACCAAATAAGTTGGATGAAAACCTTCTGTGCTCCATTTTGTGACAATAATGCAACTCTTTTAGCATATTTTACATCCTGCTTCATGTTTTCGTTGTTTTTAATTCATGACAAAAACATAAAAAATATGTCATGTTTTTTTTTAAAAGTATTTAGTATTTTAATTACAGTATATATATTTTTTAAACTCTTACTGCTCCCAAAAACAAATCAACAAAACAAGCCCAGCGGTTCCTTCCAAAGTCATTACATTTGAAGGATTTTATTCCAGCGTGAACTAAAACAAAACCCTGAAGTTAGATGAACATTGTAATCAAACAGCTTTTGTTGTATCTGTTCCATGACTAGATGTCTGGTTACGTTTGGTGATGTGAAATATTTGACTTGAGAAGTTTTTTACAGTAGTCTGGACTTTTGTTGCTGTCTACATCCCAACGGTCAGTTCATGGCTCCTCCTGCAGCCTCAGCGTTGTCCAAAAAGCAGCACGCACCATATAAAATCTATCCGGCGTGCCCGGTGCCGTCTCTGTAGACACCTTGAAGAAGTGCAGTGTTTTAGTTTCATCTGTTTATTTAGCTCCTGGAACCATTCGTTCATTTGGTCAACCATTTGTATTTCTGCTTCTGACGTCTGGATTCAAATAAATACTAGTATGCCTAAAATCTTCGTGCTGTCATGATTATTATCATGTATCTGTAAAAGTGTAAATTTTACAAATGCTGTTGTCGTGGGAAAAAAAAAAAGGATATTTCCAAACAGACCGAGTTGTAGTTCTGATTTATTACAAAGCTTTCGAGCAGTCCAGCATTCATAGAACATGCAATTTACAAGATCACCCTCTTAATCAGTGCCTTCATCCGTTTGAAACCATGACCTGCTCTAACTTCCTGAACCGGACAAGTTAGTTTTATATTTTATAGAATAACCTCCAGCCCAGGCCTCAGCTCCTCCCTCCATGTCCGAGCCGTCATCCAAAGGTCCGCTGCAGACAGGAAGGAGTGGATCTGAGTCGAGGACTCTGCTCGCCACCATATCACTTCAACTCTAACATCAATGAAACCTTGAGGATAAGAAAACTAGTTCCTTCTGTTACTGACGTAGACTGTTACATGTGTTATATACACTTTAACACAGGACAGAAAGATATGGAGCATGGTGGGTGCAAATAATACACATTACCTCGACGCTGTGCTAAAATGTTTGTATGTTGTAGCTGAGAGTCACATGGTCCAAGTGTTACTCCTTTTAAACATCTGTGCTTAAAACAGTAGGCCTACATTAAATGTTGGCTTCAACGATGTTCATCTGTTAGCAAAATATGTCATGAACTTGTCTTGATGAAACTTTCATGAAGTAATCACTGGCTCTACAACTGATTCACTTTTGAAACAAATCCATATCAAGATGGCCACCACAGCTAATCACATTAGTCAGAAGAACAGTGGCTATAACTCAGTCAGTATTACAGATACTGGGCTAAATTTTGATGCTATGGTATTAGTAGTAATAAAATATTATTTTCAAGATTTGATCAAAACGTTGACACCTCATTTCTCTGTATGACTCACTTTAAAACTCAGCATGAAATGTGCAAAACAGATCCCATCAAGGGATACTAGGCCTTTCTTTTTTAATGTTTGGGCCATTAGTGGACAGAAGACAGACTACAGAACAGTGCGGAAACAAAGGTCCGTGGTTTTCATCTTCCTCTTGTAGTCTTCAGTAAACTCCTCATCCTGTTTGACAGTGAAGTGATTCTTCCAGTCGCCAACGTTTCCTAAAAGTAGAACGAAAAAACAAAACAACCGTAAAAAAATTAATTCATAGTATTCTGTCAGTTTCCTTTATTGCTTTACTTCAAAAACGTCTCACGTAGAGAGGAATGTGTGTAACCTTTGCGGATGAAATGAGAGATGCTCAAGTCGAAGACTTCGTCTGTCGACCCGTTCACCATCTTGTTACGTTTCATGTTGTCAAACAGAACCTTTTCTGTTATGTGTTTCTTCTTCTCCGCGCTCGGAGACAGTCCCAGGAAGGAGCAGAGACGATTCAGTTCCCCAGCAAAATCCTGCAAAAATAAAACAATTACCGTAATTTCTGGTCTATAAGTCGCTACTTTTTCACAAGTTTTGAACCCCGTGTCTGCGGCCAATTTATGGATCTTTATTTTTTGGTTGATTGTTTTGATGAGCTAACGAGCTTCCTGCCGCCAAAAACATTTAGCTTAATCACACCCGGGTGCTCACATAGCTGCCCAATACATGCCTCTCTTGTGGGGTGGGTCCTCGCAGCTTAATGAGACTACCTGTATAAATAAAGGTAAAGAAAAAAAATGGCCAATGAAATTACTGAACAGGTCACAGTCAAACCAACGGAACGGGGAGGAGAGAACGTGGAGGGGGGGAAAAGCATGTGCAGAGCATGTGAGGGGGGACTCCCCTGCATGCGCAGAGCAACTTTGCTCCGTGAAACACAAGCTTGAAACAGGAAAAATATGAAGATAGCAATCAATGACTTCCTGGTAGGCTACTGAATTTTTTTTCCACAACGAAAGAAACCGAGAACGAGTGTGATTAAGTTTTTCTGAGGTTGTTCAATTGTGACGCTGAAGAAGAAGACTTTAGTGTTTGTAGTGCGGAAGATGAACATTGCGATCAGTGACTTTTCCTGATAAGCTACTGATTTTTTTTTAACTATCTTTGAACCAGCTGTGTTAAAGGCATTGTTCAGAAAAAAACACTGTACGTCTTTGTGTATGTTACCGGTACATATTTAATTAAAAGTTTTTAAAAACTTTCTGCGTAAATGTCTCGTTATAAGTTGGACATCCGTGGCTCATACTGTACACAAGCGTGGCTAATAAATGTACACTTTAAAAAAAATTAAAAATTTAGTGTGCGGGGCTTATATTTGGTTGTGCTCTATAGTCCGGAAATTACGGTAGTGCTATTATTATTATTATTATTATTATTATTATTATTATTATTATTATTATTATTATTATTATTATTATTATTATTATGGCTGAGCAATGGTGTCAAGTATCCCATGAACTACTGGACTGATTGTAATGAAAGTCTCAGAAAGTAAACAGTTGAGGCTGAAGTTTTTTTTTTTTACAACCACACACATACAAACGCTTAATTACACCCACCTCAATCAGATCCTCGTAGAACAAAAACAGGATGTTGGAGCTGGTCTGTTTCTTCTCCCACCAGCCAGTCACGTGTTCGTACCAGGAACCAAACACCACTGACAGAAAATATCAGGCAAACTTTGAGAAATGCGATAAGCTTTTGTATTTTCAGTGATTAACGCTTTCAGTTTGACGCTCACTTTGCCCCTCCATGAATCTGTGGAGGAAACTGCTCCAGTCACCAGGCTCCGGCTGGGCCTTGTTCATGCGATCAAAATGGAAATACGACACCGCCGAGTCTTTGGCGTTGCGAGCCACGTAGACTATCTGCAGCCACATGGAAAGGACAGAAAAACAACTCTTGGATGTGCGTTCTCTTCACCTTTTGACCCTGTTCAGGTCCCACAAAAGGTCTTGTCACCCATTCGAAGCAACACTCATTCATTTCCTACATCCAAGAAACCAAAAGGAGGGCAATCATGCTTTTGCTTTTGTGTTCACTTGTGTGTAGTGTTAGTAAAATGTCTCATGAACCAGTGGACCGATTTTAATGAAACTGTTTAAAGTTAATCATAGGATGAACATCTACAACAAATAATGTAAATGTTGAGTCAGCTTTAGCTTTTTGTTATTTTAATCATTCATATAACCAAATGTTCAGCTCATAAAAGTGTGCTTTAACTTTTGTTTTTGTAACTTTTACACTTTTCAAAACATTTAATTTTATTGAAATTGTAGTTCCATAGAAATACATTACAATTTCTTAAATATAACATTGTTTTAGTTTAAATCTGCTTCAGTATACTTGCTTTTGTGTTCTAATGCTACCTTTAGCTTTTAGCTACTGTTTTGCCACTATTAACTATGAATTTATTTATTTTAGTTTTAGCATCTGTTTTACCAATTTACACATCTAATTTGAATATATTAGTTACTCTTTTGCTAATTAGAGCATGTGTTTTAGATTAGCATTGGTTTTGGTAATTTTAGCTACTGTTTTGCTGCCTTTAGGTTTTGTGTTCTGCTCATTTTAGCCTCTCTTTTGCTTATTTTTACTTTAACTATTTAGATTAAGATTCTTCAGGACAGTCATTCAACACGAAGCATTCCCACTTCATTCATATTTTTCTATAAGTTTTAGAGCCATGATTCAAGATGGCAGCTGTAGCTAATCAGCGCTTAAGCCACTTTTACAAATTTGTACCTAAAACACGATGTGGTCCAAGCTGAGTCATTCACAACACATACAGCAAATGACTGCGTGAGATTATTTTTTCAGGTTTGAACAGAACTCCATCATTCTCATCAGCTCATGATCTCAATTACAAACAGTAACATTAAAGGTGGCGGGCAATATGCATTAAGAAATGCAAGGCTTTTAATCCTGTCACAGACATTCCACCTGCTGAACCACGTGAGCACCAACATCTGTAATTTACATTCAGTCTACAAACCTTGGCGTTCTGCTCCCAGAAGGACTGGGGGAGAAACTGGACCGGGAGGTGCGTCTTGATAATGCGTGGAAACTTGGTCATGTGATTCGTGGCATCCACTCCTGGTAAAGAAAGGTCAGGACATCAGAAAAGCCACACGCCACTCTCTCGAACGCCACCGTGTTAACGAACGCACCGCTGGGGAACCCAGGATGGTAAAGCTCCAGGAACGGCACTTTATCGAAGAGTGGGACCGAGTCCTGCTGCTCCAGCGTTGTCTCGTCACAATACAGAAGGTCCAGGATGTAAGAGACCCATGTGTTTCCTTGGAGACGGGACAAAAGTTACATTTAGTTAGAAGCCATCAAACTCGTTAACGGGCAGAAAGCTAATGAAGTTATGAGTCCATAAATCTCCACCTGCTTTAGGATAACTTGCTAACACAACATCATCTGGTCTTGCTTTGAGCTTCTGGACATTTTCCCAGTTGTCGGTGAAGAATCTGGTCATGGAGACTCCATGGAAGTCGAACAGAGTAGGTCGAGGAGGTGACTCCATCGCTGCTGGGTGTATCTTTAAATCCTTTAAACACCTTTGATCAGCAGGAAAAGTCTTTCTACAGCAATAAAAACGTCACAAGTGAAACAAGCTGAACAGATTTGAAGACAAATTATGTTTTATCAAGAAATTCAAGCTTAAATCATTTTCATTTGAAACTGTGCCTCACTGTTAGCAAAATATCTCATTTATTCATTCATTTAAAACGAACAAAACATTGCATGAAAAGGATGCAGAAAGAAGAACTTATAATATCTGCCCCTTATTTAAAAATAAAATACCTTTAAAAAACAACAACTCAGGCTTGAACATCTCCAAAGTGAAAACAAAATATATCTATCCTTCACATGGTGTCAGAGTCAGAGTTTCTTTATTGTCATTCGCACCTCATGTGGTACATGTGGTGGAGCGAAATTATGTACGCAGGGTCCCAGTTACATCCAACAATAAAATGTCTAAGAAAAACAGTAATAACATCTAAGATATGAACTAAGAAAAACATCAACTAAATATACACTAAGCACTAATAACATAAAACATTGAACATCAGCACAAACATGAACATGAGTCTGTGAGCAGATGTGCACGCATGAACACAACAACACTGAAACAGATCAGCAGCAACATGAAACAGATCAGCAGCAACATGATATGGTTTTTCACAGTGATTATTCTAGTTAGAGATTCATGAGTCTAACAGCCTCAGGGTAGAAGCTGTTCCTCAGTCTAGTGGTTCTACACTTAATGCTCCTTAACCTCCTTCCTGAGGGGAGTGGGGCAAAAAGTGTGTGTGCTGGGTGGGTGGGGTCCTTCATGATGCAGGTGGCCCTCTTCTTGCATCTGGAGGTGTAGATGTCTGTGATGGTGGGAAGGCTGATTCCGACAGATTTCTGTGCAGCCTTCACCACTCTCTGCAAAGCTTTTCTTTCTGCAGCTGTGCAGCCTCCATGCCACACATTGATGCTGGAGCACAGGATGCTCTCCACTGCACACCTGTAGAAGGAGGTGAGGACTGAGCTTCCCAGACCAGCTCGTCTCAGCCGTCTGAGGAAGTAGAGTCTCTGATGAGCTTTCTTGATCAGGCTGGTGGTGTTGTTGCTCCAGCTGAGGTTGTCATTCAGGTGTACACCCAAGTACTTGTAGCTGGAGACCACTTCCACCGCAGATCCTCTTATGTTCAGGGGGGTGTAGGTGTTTTTGTTCCTTCTGAAGTCCACAATCATCTCCTTTGTCTTCTTCACATTGATGTGAAGGTTATTCTCTTTGCACCAGCTCTCCAGGTGTTCCTGGATCATACTTTCCTAACAAATTTAACTAATAAACTTAATAATGAAACAATATATTTGTTGGGTGACCATAGCACTTTCTACTAATAATTCTTATGGCTTTTTTTTGTAAAATAAAAATAGGGTTTGTAATTGTTTTGCATGCTTTTCCCCAAACTTCAATACAATAGATTAAATATGGAACAATCATTACATTATACAATATATACATTATAAATATATACATTATACAAAATATACATTATATAATATATACATTATACAATATATACATTATACAATATATACATTATACAAAATATACATTATACAATATATACATTATACAAAATGTACATTATACAAAATATATATTATACAATATATACATTATACAATATATACATTATACAATATATACATTATATAATATATACATT